TACATATCTTCATGTATAAACAAGGTGTCCCGTAAGTAGATATATATGTATATATATTTTTGTAGCTTAATGTAACAGGCAACATTGAACACATTTCCGTTTTAGGCAATTTGGAACAGCATTCAGATGAATTTGGTTGCCTTAATATATAGGTACCGTTCTTAGTTTTTGAAGTTCTTGTTAATTTATATATAGATATATAGAAAAATAAATTTATTCTGGAATAAAGTTCCCTAAGTATAACAAGATTTGTTGCATTTTTAATACATTTTATTTTCAATACATAACACATTTTGTCACTCTATATAAATACTATATATAAATTAAAAAAAAAAAAAATCGATTGTTGAAATAATCATACTTATTACGAAATAATCATATACTAAGGGAACGTTCTTATAAGAAGGGTAGATTGTTAGCCTAGAAATAGATAAAGGTAAAATGTACATTAAATAATAGTAATTTAAAATAAGGTAAATATGAATTAATATATAATCCTTTAATTATAAAGAATGATTTATCAGCAGTGAATATGTTCCTAAATATGGGAAAATATTCTAATATTTTCCTAATGTTTAACAATGTAAGGACATGTTAAAAATAAAACGAATGCAAATCACAACTGAGTTAGGATACTCAACTGCACATTAATAAATTAACATATTAGAAACTCAATGTAACGTAAGTATGATAAAAATATGTATTTTAACGTTTCAAAGCATAAGAGCAGATAAATTAATAAAATTTAAAACTATATGAAACTTACATTAATAATAAAAGAAAATCTGCAATGATTGTATTTAAAAATTAATTTTTTATTTTTACATGAACAAAACAATAAAAACAAAAAAAGGGTTAATAAGCAAAATGTGCTAGAATTAAATTAATTAAAGAATTTCAACTTTTTTTTCTAATAAGCAACTTTATTATTTGAAATATTTAACTTCTAAAAATGTGATGGGAAATTTATATGTACTGCTGATTATCGGCTTATTTTAACGAGAAACTTGTTTTGAACAATTCATTTACTTTGTACATCGATAATATTAATATTTATTTCCACAAGTAAAGAAAATGAGAAATAAACTTAAATTGAAATTGAATTTACTAATTAATAGTTTAAAATAAATAGAAAGGGAAATCGAAAAGGCGTTAAGTGGACAAAAAATCCACATGTGTTGTTTTCTAATTGGAAATGAACCTACGATTGTAACTTCATCTTTAACTTTGTATTTTATGTTTCATTTTAAAGTTCATTTTACCTGACTAATTCCACCGAAAACATAATTGTATACATTTATTATCAAATATGCAATATAATTTTTTATTATCTGCATCTGAGTACAATTATATAAATATATAGCATTTCCAAGTCAATTTCAACCTTTTCCAAGCCAAATTCAACCTTTTCCAAATCAAATTAAACTTTTTCCAAGTCAAATTCAACCTTTTCCATTTCAAATTAAACCTTTTCCATTTCAAATTAAACCTTTTCCATTTCAAATTCAACCTTTTTTTATTTATTTAATTTTCTTTAATTTTTCGATGTGTGGGTCTGTTATCGTATGAGTAGTTTTTGAAAATAACCTCCTTTTTAAGATTACGTGACTGCGTTTCGAATTATTTAAGTTTTTTTGACTTATTCGATATAAGGGTGTATTTTTATGTTTCCCGATCAGTAAATTTTGAAAATGACATCCATTTTATGTTTACGCCACTGTGTTTTGATTTATTTAAGTTTTTAGAATTTATCCAATATAAAGGTCTACTTTTATGTTTCGACTTATTTGAGTTTTTCGGATATTTTTCATATGAGGGTGTATTTTTATGTTTCCGGAGCTGTAGATTTTGAAAATGACCTCCATTTTAAGATTAGGCCACTGCATTTCGACTTATTTAAGTTCTTTGGATTTATTCGATGTAAGGGTGTATTTTTATGTTTCCAGAGCTGTAGATTTTGAAAATGACCTCCATTTTATGATTACGCCGCTGCGTTTAAACTTATTTAAGTTTTTCGAATTTATCCAATTTAAAGGTATACTTTTATGTTTTCGGAGCAGTAGATCTCCCCCATTTTGTAAATGAGCAACTTTCAAGTTTATGCCGCTGTGTTTTGGATTATAAAAGTTTTTTTTTTTACTTTTTCGGTATAAGGATCTACTTATATGTTATCCGAGACGTATGAATTTTTTCTAATCTTTAATATTTAAATTTATCTAATATTTAAGCTGCATTTTATGATTAAGCTGCTGCATCTCGATTAATTAGACTTCATTTTGGACTTCATTCAAGTCGAAACATAAAAGTAGACCTTTATATTGGATAAATTCTAAAAACTTAAATAAATCAAAACACAGTGGCGTAAACATAAAATGGATGTCATTTTCAAAATTTACTGATCGGGAAACATAAAAATACACCCTTATATCGAATAAGTCAAAAAAACTTAAATGATTCGAAACGCAGTCACGTAATCTTAAAATGGAGGTTATTTTCAAGACTAGGTACAGGACAGCATAATAATACTCCCTAATAAATCCGAATAGGTACAATAAATCGATATCCGTAAGTGAAAATTCTACTTAGGAGAGCATAATAATAGACTTTCATATTGGAGGGGGGGAGGAGGGGATGGCCATTATTTAAAAAGATATATAAAATTTACAAAAAATTAAAACATTAATTTGAAATGAAAACGGTTGAATTTGAATTGGAAAAGGTTTAATTTGAAATGGAAATGGTTGAATTTAACTTGGAAAAGGTTGAATTTGACTTGGAAATAATTGAATATGACATAGAAATATCACACTGAAAAAATCTAAAATGTTAAAATAAATGGATATGCAACCGTGTTATCAAAAGTTTTTTTGTATTTTTCAAAAGCTATGCCTTCGATAATATAGTAAGTGGCCTTCATATAAAAAAAAATCGAAAATTGACAAAAATTCGAAAGTTGAATTTGAAATGGAAAAGGTTGAATTTGAAATGGAAAAGGTTTAATTTGACTTGGAAAAGGTTGAATTTGATTTGGAAAAGGTTGAAATTGACTTGGAAATGCTATATTTGGCCAGCCATAAATTATACAATTTAGAATATTTTAAAATTAAGTTATGATATTTAAAAGGAATAACATATTTTTGATATAAAAATCTGAACATTATGAAAAAATAAACTTGAAGTATGGTCCTGTACCAATCAAAAAAATCATTCACATAATAAAATGAAGTGTTTACTGTCTCGTTCGTTTTATACTCGTTCGTCATAACACTTCCTTAGTTTTGAAAAATGAAGTAATTACATAATTCACACTTGAAACGAGTAATTCTCATTTACCAAATATGCAAACACAGATGGCATTTTTTCTGATGCAATCGTTGGTACTTATAAAACACTTGATGCCATTTTTTGAGTGTCAAACAAATTATTTTGGAACATTCTCTTTCTAATCATATTAGAATATCCTATAAGACCTTTTAATCTTAATGTTGTTATGATCATAGTATTGTTTTGTCGGGGAGCGGGGTAGCTTAGTGGGTGAGCACTGACTTTCAGAGTCAAGGTCCGAGGTAGGAATCCGACCGAGGACTAGTAACTTTTCATCAGCCGTGGGTCGAACCGGGGGCCAGGGAGATCATCCTGGGGCACACCAAGCCTCTACAAAGTGGGAACTATTAATTAAATAATTAATTAATGAGAAAAACCTGGAGATTGAGCTTGATATTGGCCTAACACCTCCCTGCACAACTGTTGGCCTTGCAACAGTACTTCCTCACATTGTACTAAACCAAAGACTCTTCATAGGCTGGTATAGGTACAGTTTTATTTTAGTTTTTTAGTATTATTATTATTATTTCGAAATACATGTAGAATCACTATGAATAATATTTTATCTCAAAAAATAGAAAATATTTAAAAATAATTAATCAAAAATTAATGTTTAAAAACTTATGTGAATGCGGCGTCTATGCGATACCAAAACCATATTTCTTTACTTTCTGTTTAAAATTTATCGACAAAATTAGAACTGAAGTAAGTAACAATTTGGAAAATAAAGGATAAGAAAAGGGTGGTTCTTTTCCCACTTTATATTTTAAGAAAAATATACAGACAAGTCGGCTGTTTGTCTAACAGGTACTTACGACTGTTGGACAATAGGATAAAACGATGATTTTCAATAGAAAAAAATCTGATCAGGGTGTTTCAGGTTACTAGGATTTACAAGTTAACAGAAGAAACATTTAGAAATAAATGAACACGATTCTGAACTATAATGAAAATAGTTGATTTAGTTATATCTTGTGTAGATACCACTTCCTATTTATGGTATGTTCTATGCAATACAGATACAACGCGTACTCATAGTTAAAAAGAACTAATATCTAAAAATATATTTTAAAAAAAAACTTTGATTTTCGAGATATTTTAGTCTAAATGTCCAAGACAGTCGTTATTTCTTGTTTTGTTTTTTGGCACTATCGTTTTCCCTTTCCGACTCTCTAACTCGGTGTTACGTCGAAATACAATTTTAATTTTTCCTCACTACAAAGAAAATGAAATGGAGAAAATTTCTCCGCTTTTGAGATATTTTAATCCATATGTTCAACAAAACTCTTATTTGAAAAATCCTCCGGACTGTAACAGGGGACAATTGGGGTAAAAGTATTAACATGTGAAGGAGAAAAACGCATAAAAAACTGCTTACAGAAACTGGTCAATCAATATCTAATGATATGAAGCCGGTGAGGGAAAGATGTGCAAAGCATTTAGCTCGAAGCCATCTATCAGGAAGCATCTACACTACGATGAATGGCTGCAAAGGCAGAAAGAGTGAAAGACCAAAAAGCAGATTGATTGATTCAATAAAGATGCGATAGAGCTGATTTCAGTAACTGAAAAGATCGATAGATCGATATTGCCCCGCAGGAAAACTCATAAGGAAAAATGAAGCCATTTTCTTTAAATTATTTTTCGGTTATTATTATATTTTTCTTTTTAATCACCTGACATTTCAGCAATCCAGGCTGAATCCCCTAGGGAAGAAATTTCTATTCCGACACAGTTGAACTTGTGGATAAGAGCTGAAACTGGTTCCTGAAGGAAATACGACTCAATTATTACTGCGTCGTATTTATCCGACGAGTGGATGATCTCTTGAGCAATTTGGTTTCCGTAAAAGATTTCTGACATCTCCTCAGATATAGTGGACATCTTGTGCGAAATAGATGGAATAGGAATACGTCCGAGTTTGACGTTCTATCAAATCCATCTTTCCTAGTAAGAAATAATTATTTTTAGTTCTTAGATTATATATAATAAAATAATTAATATATATATTTATAATTTGGTCAAGCATCTACATTATATTTAATAAGGTAGTATAAATCCCTTTTTTAGCTCTCACAAGAGGCGGATTTTTATAAAAGATGTATCAACGAGCGGGTGTATTCATAAAGGAGTTATTGGATAAGGAGAGGACAACTTCTAAGAAAGGATAACCTCAAGTTTCGGAAGGATGTTATCTTAAATCGGTCGTTGAACTAAGGGATGAACCTTGTGATCTCTTAGGGCAGTGACCACAAACGGAGAGGTAATACTCTGGAATTAGGTTGTATTTAAAAAATTCGTACAACAGTTTTTACATTATAACAATAAGAAACAATAGTAGTACTCGTCGGTAAAATGTTCGACCGCTCGCCAGTGGCGAAGCCCCAGATTCTGGATAGGCCGCTATACCTTATTAAAACTATTATAAAAGTCATAGAAATATTGTAAGGTTGAAAAAATCGATGGATCGACACGGGATGAATCGTGTTTTAAAGCCGGAACAGTTTGAAAAAGTCAGAATTTAGAGGCATTAAATTTACCACTTTCAGGATAGACCTTAATTCTTCCAGAAATACTCTTAGATGCTATCTTTATCATGAGATAATTATGTCATATTTAAGTTTTATTAATTAAAATATTGTTTTTTACGATTGTCTTCGGTAAACCAAAAATCTATTAAAAACATAAATAGAGGATAATTGTTATATGATCGCTTAGGCACTTCGGATAATATATAAAGACATTTTCTATATTTTTAAATATTTAAAAAATATCCAGGAATGGATTCTATATTCTCAGTAGTAAATTAATATAATCTTGGTAACAGAGGCACAACTACAAAGGCTTTTCTACACCACATTCGAAGAAGAGTACGAGACTCCAGTTAATTTGTGTGTTTTATAGACTATAGTGATAATAATATAATGTATATACGAATATACTATATATACAATAGGAATATACAATGCAATAGGAATAACGGTGAGAGTTCTACCTGGGTTTTCGTATACTAGTTCTTATGTATTCTCACTGATTTGTATATACCTTTCTTTGTACTGATTTCTATATACCTTTGAGATTGTCAATCTATTTATATGAGAGTGCAAATGTGGAAATTTCTTTCTTTAATATATCATAGATTTGTGTTTACGTTTTTAGTTTGCCAAGATTAACCGGCTCAATCAAATCAAATCAAATCAGATCATAGCTCAAAACTGCACATTATAATTAAATTGTACTCGTAGGCTTCCGCAGTGTGGCTGTCAATACACAGCATTATTTTAGCATTGTATTGTATTTATACAAAATGAAATATTTATTTATTACTAATTATTTTGCATTAGACCACCACCTCATATAATATAATAAAATAAATGAATTATTGAAGGAAGCTAGTCGACTGTTCTACATATCATGAGATAATTATGCTTGAATGCTTTCAAGAACTTGAAGTGCTCGAATCACACCCTGAAGATGACCCACATATTCGGGTTGGAACGTTGGCACAAATAAAAAAATATTTTTTTTTTTTTTTTAAAAGACTGCGTCCTGAATATTTATGACCCATAATAAAGATTTTTATTATAAAGGCAAAATTGCTATTAATAATCTGTTATCCTCATAAGCTAGATTCTTAACAAACAAAAGAAATTAAGGAGTGTGAAAAACGTTGTGAATCAATTGTAAACCCCTACAACATTCGTTTTTGCATCAAGATCCTGATACCAAAATAAAAAAAAATAAAATAATGCAAACTACAATAAAATGATTACTAGTAATGGTTAAGTTCTTACCTGTGAACGTGTTCTTAAATGGCGGTATGGATTTCACCGTAAGATTCTTGTCCTTAATTTCTGGTACTACCGGAGTGTAGTATGTAACATCGTGTCCGATCCTGGACAATTCGTTGAGCAGAGGTAAAAAGGCTTTGTGGTGACTCACGGTAGGAAATGGAAGAAAGGCAAGAATCTTGTATTGTCGGCCCTGCAAGATATAGTTGCTCAGGAAGATTAATAGCGATATCTGTATTCTTTGTAGTAACATGGCTATTGTTTAAGGAAACAAAATTAAAGTTAGTAATAGTTTGTTTTCCTAATTTTGTTTTATCTATCAAAGAAAGAATTTTTACCTATTACAAACAAATGACATGTTGACCTTTTTAATATCTTAATTTAATTGGAAAATTGTTCAATTGTTACAGGCTCCCATAATAATTTTTAATTAAAAAAAAAAAATTATGCCATTTTATTTTTTTTCAGTAAAAATTCAATAAATATGAAATAATTATATTAAATAATCTCCTTTATTCTTAACATTGTAATTTCTATTAACCATGAAAAACACTTACTTGTCGGTCCCTGGTTCTATGCTACTGTCAGCTGCAGCTTTATCTGAAATAAAAAAATGATAAGAAAGATCTAGGTTAAACTCATTTCAAAGGATTACTAGGTATTATAAAACGAAACGAAAGCTCTTTCATGTAGCTGGTTTAGACCATCTCTAATTCTCCATTTATACATAACAATTTTTAAAATAATCAAAGCAGTCTGTTGAGAAAAGAAAAACAAATTGTGACATTGTAATTGAGTTTTCACTCAGACTTAAGGACAGAAGGTAAAAAATCTAAAATTAATATAGCCTAAAAAAATTCAATTATTTATGCCAGATTTTATCAATGCATATATCATTCGATGGTCTTTTTTTAAATTTTATTCTACTGCTGCTGCTGTATAAAAAAATATTTCTGTCCTTTCTCTTAACTTATAATAACATGGGCAATGGCTTTATAGAAGAGTACTGCTTCTACAATAAACTACCTTTATTCTATTTAAATTAAAAATGAATATTTCCTGATCACATTTGCTGAATTTATTTTGTATCTTAATATAGTCGTAAACATAAATAAATAATAAAAAAATGATAAAATAATTCAAAATATTAATTTGTTAAAAACATAGGTCGAAATATTTGTATTTAATTCAGTTTTTCCATTTTACTTACCCTGTATGGAAAGTAAAATATCAAATTTTAGAGTAAGATATCCTCACTTGATCATGGCAAAGAGGAGAGCACCTAAGGTATGGCAGACTAACAGACTTCCTTCAGATAGACGGACATTTAACAGACTGAATAACGAAATTAAACGACTAATACAAAAATTCAATAGAACCAATTATGAAGCTCATTTGAACAGTTTATCAACTTTCGATGGAAGTTTGTGGAAGTATACCAAAAATTTGTTAAAACATCGAGAGGTATCAGTACCCCTGCGAAACGAAGACGGTTCATGGGCTTTGTCGGATAGAGAGAATTCTGAACTATTTGCAGACCATCTCTCATCAGTATTCACACCATTTACTGACTTCACGAGCACAGAACATGAAACGTTAGTATTTGATACTCTAGACATACAATTACAGATGACACCTCCCCCTCTTTCGTTCACTCCTTCACAAGTCGCACAACAAATCAGACATCTCCCTAAAAGAAAAGCTCCAGGTTATGACTTAATAACTGCCGAGGGGCTCCAGCAAATGCCTAGGAAAGCTCTAGTGTTCCTTACGATAATATACAACTGTATTCTGAGGACAACTAACTTCCCATTACAATGGAAATATTCACATATCAAGATGATACACAAAAGGGACAAAGAAATTTTCAATTCCTCATCCTACCGACCTATCAGTCTCCTTCCGATATGTTCCAAAGTTTTCGAAAAATTAATATACAAAAGACTGGTTGACATAATGACAGACCAACAAATAATACCTGACCATCAATTCGGTTTTCGTACATTTCATTCAACTACACACCAATTACACAGAGTTACTGACTACATTGCTGGAGCGCTAGAGCAAAAACAATATGCTACCGGCGTATTTCTGGATGTTGCCCAGGCATTTGATAAAGTCTGGCACCAGGGACTTCTCTTTAAACTCAAATCTATCCCGCCTAATAGATACTATCTCATTTTTCATTCTTTCCTTTTCGACAGATTCTTCTCTGTCCGACAGGGTTTAGAAATTTCCTCAATTCGACCAATATCAGCAGGAGTGCCTCAAGGATCAATATTGGCACCTTTACTCTACATTATCTATACGCATGACATGCCTACCACCTCTGAAACTTTGACTGCTACTTACGCTGACGATACAACAATTTTAACAAAACACCACGACCCCAGACTAGCCTCATTAAATTTACAAAATCACTTGCTAAATTTACAAGATTGGTATTCACTTTGGAAAATTAGATTAAATCACAACACATAACATTTACGCTTCGACGAGAAACATGCCCACCAGTTTATATCAGCAACAATCCAATTCCTCAGACGGACACTATACGCTACATCGGACTAATATTCGACAGAAGGATGACCTGGGGCCCACACATCAAAATGAAAAGAAAGACTTTGAACAAGAGACTGAAAATATTATACTCCCTGTTTTCTAAATCAAAGTTGAAAATTAGACAAAAACTAAATACATAAACTTACCTGCACAAACCCATTTGGACATACGCCTCACAGATTTACGGTTCAGCAAAAAAGACTCACTTACAAAAACTACAATTCTTTCAATCAAAAATTTTAAGACTAATAGCTTGCGTCCTCCCTGGTACGTTAACAATATTATATTTGTTTATTTAGAAATATTACATTCTGTCACATCAAGGACATTTATAATAGTGATCAGAGAAAGCACACACACACTCTATTTACAATAAAAAAAAAAAATAAATAATACAGAAACTTAATAATAATAAATACAATAAAATAAAATAAAAATAAATACAATAAAATAAAATAAATGTATATAAACAAAAGAACTAACCTAATCATACACACTCGGGCTTGAGTGGAGGATCTGGCCATTGCCAAA